TTACATTCTCTAGGAAATATCTTGCACCTTTCTCATCATTCATTTTTAATCAGTACTCTCATCTCATCTTTTAGAACCCATTCAACACAAAGCATTGTGTGTCTCTGATCATACTCAAGCCACATTTTGAAACGAAAGAAGCACCTTTCAGGCTCTCACAGAGGAAATGAGAACACCCAGATCACTTCACTGTCCATTATGTACAAGACTAAAAGGTTTGAGGGATCACCAGTTCCATTTAATCTTTCAAACTAAGCACTGTCACTTCTGTTATTATCAGTGGTTATTAGATTTTCTCTTTTAAATAAACATGCATTCTATTGTTATTAGGGATAAGGATAATGTGTGCAATGACAACACTTGTTTCATTCACAGAATGCTAGGCACCATCTTTGTGCTGAGTTTCCTCAAAAAGAATAAACTCTTCTGCACATCCACTGACTTGCTGTTTAAACACATAGTCCCAGCTGGTTACATGCTACACAGAGCCTGACTCAGCAATGAACCGACATTCCTCTCTGGGTTTTCACTCTGTCTTCTACCCAAACCCACCCTTGTCTCCTAAATCTGTAATCACTTTCACTCCCTCAGTTCTCCAATCTGTTTTCTTCTCTCTCTGGCATCTAGTATTTCAGCTTTCCTTTTTTGCTCTGCACCATACTGCTCCCTTCTCTTTTATGCCTTGTTTCGAGCTTACACTTCTTACTACTGTATGTATGCAGCCAAAACCTTTCTCTGATCAAAAGCGGTCAGAGGGCAAACAGCTGCAGGTGTGGCTTTAGCAATGAACCCCCCTCTAGCAGCTCACCTGCAAAGTTCCTTGTGAAGACCAGGGTGACTAGCAGGATGGGGATGATGACCGTCCCTATAGTAACAACGCGATCAAAAGGAAGCTCCAGTTTGATTTGCACCATGAGGCCAGCCAGTGCCCCGCCCTTCTCATCCTGAGAGGAACCCGGCAAGATCAGCTCCTTCAGCTTCTCGCCTGCAAGTAGAGCTGTAGCCATGTCCAAGTTTTGATCGAGGATGTTCTGCATCCGGAACAAAAATAATGCACACCACAACCCCCCTCTGGGCAAGAGGGGAGACTAGACACTCCCTGATGAAGTTAGATACTCGTCAAAACAATGCTAGAAGCCACACGTGCCACACGTGCGCAGGAATGTGTGGCCAGCTTCAGCCCCTGTCACCTTGTGTGGAAAAGTAGTGGGTCATACTGTGTGGCCTGTGTTCTTCAGGTCTCGGACTCTTCTACCGTTTCATGCAGCTCTTCTGTTGCAGACAAACAGACATAATGTGCACTGCTCACTCAGCCTCTCCGTTGTGCATCCCCATGTTTGTGTGTCTCTACAGCGTCTGGCCTCAGTCTGCAGACCCTGTGCTGCAGGTTGAGAAATGAGCTGAGTTTAGGGATGTGTTCTTGCAAACCCCAGGGAGAGTTGTTACATGAGCTTGGGAAAGGAGAATCAGTGACCAGTCCTTTCCTGAAAGACAGACAACAAGTTAAGGGCAGTGTAGTGTGTTCATTTCTATAAAGGTACACCGAGGTGCAAGTTGTCATTGAATGTACAATAGCATATTAGCGTAATTTAAAAGAGCAACAGTCTGATTGATACTGCTTCGCACCTTCTTCCAGAAGGCTCTCTGTTCCCATCCATCGTCCTCTTTAATGCAGTCGTGTGGCCAGGGATTTCTAATCCTCCCTCTCTGACCAGTGAAGTGTGAGGAGGATTTTTGTCTTTGATCAAGCAAGGACACTAAAGGGCAAGTTTATACTCGGAGGACTATTTTAATTTTAAACTGTTTAAAGCATACTTTGATGAAGCGTCTATTTGTGTTAATACATTAAAGGCCTGATATCTTGGGGACTGACTCTGTTTCAAATTTCACCCCGCTCCTCTCTGGACTCTCTGGAACAACATGTTCACACAAGGATGTCAGATGAACCCCAACACTTGTCAGTGACATCAGGGGGTTATCATGTGTGGCTTATCGTGTGCATCTGAGAGTGGCTATTTGAGATTGAATGCATGCATGGTCAGGGCTGTAACTATGGAAATGCTTTAAACTTGCTTGGTCATTTCACAGGAAGCTCTTACAAATTCCCTTCATGTGGAGTTTGAATACATCACCACTTTCCATCAACAATCCCACTTGCTCCTGCATTTTCCCTTCATATATGAAATCTTTTTTTAAAGCGCTCAATTTGAGGCTCAAAATGTAACCTAATATCTTGATGAGGACAACCTTGAGAATGTGGTTTCGTGGGTAAAGGGGACAATTAGCTGCCAGCTTTAAAGCACATGCTTAGCAGTGAGAAGGATCACAAGAAGATGATTCTTTTGAAATTACAGCAGAGTATAATATTCAAGGTTGCACAGGTTAATGCTGAGATCACTGGTTCTATATCTGAAATAGAGAAGAAGATGTCTCTCGTGAGGTATGAAACATTTACTTTAAACTATTTTCTCAACTGCCTCATGACAGTCAAGATTTATTTTTACCCTCAAAGACTATCTCATGGAAGATCAGAGAAGAAGTAAAGTTTGCATAATTTAAATTTAAAGGGGTAGAACACCCATTTCGGGAGCTCAGCTGGAAGCTGCACTGCCGTCTGCGAGCCACTGGCACTGGTCCAGTCAGACAGATTATACTCCTCAGTTGGGCAATGCTACCAGTGTTTAGAGAGGGAATCCCAGATTTCTTGGCTACTACAACATCCAGCTAGAGTTTGGCCAGTTCAGTCAGCTACAAAGACACAGAGCCAGGCTCCGGGACAAGAGCTGAAGGAGAGAAGCTCCATTCATCCATTATTAATTAATGATAGCTGAGGAAGGAAGAACTTTCAGGACTGATGTGATGTCTTCTCATAAATGTGATCAGATAACAGTCCAGTGAACAGAGTTTAGACAACGTTCTCTATATGCCCTAAACAGTGCACAGGAGACGATGTCATCACCCTTACGGTTTCCTCAGTTGTGTCAGTCTCTGACGGAAACACCTGCAGGAAGATTTATTTGGGTTGAGAAGATCACCATGCCCTTAGTCGGTGTTCTGCTAGGACGCTTTTAAGTGCTGTTTCTTGACTATCAGTTCCAAGACACTAGAAAAACCAGGAGGACACTTTCACCACAGACATGGCATTGCAGTGAATTGCAGCTGCCTGCAAATGACGACCCCTTTCAGCACCCGCGCGGTGGATAGTTCCCGAATAGCCAGCCAGAGACGAGCCGCTAAACAACATCAAGTGTAGCGATTCAATGTGTGTGTCAGAGGAAGCGAAAGTATGTGTGAGTGTGTGAGCTGCTCCGTGTGTGAGAGAGACAGAAGAGGAGATGCTCAGGATGCTGAATACCTGTATGAACTGTGTACCTGTCCGCACCAGATGAACCACCGCTACATTTCTTGCTCTGGTGCAAAAAACGGAACAATGTGCAAGCTTTCAGGAAAAACAAACAAACAAACAAACAAAAACAAAATTCACTCACCGTCTCTCGTTGCATCTCCCAGCACGGTAAGAGTTAATCTGCAGTGCGGGCGAGCAGCTACAGCATGTATCCGAGGCACACCGGTTTGTTCCGCCTTTCCCCCCCCAGCTCCAACCCTCTCCTCTTCCCTCCCCTCCCCGCCCTGCTTCTCCCTCAGAAACAAGAGATGAGAAACACATTAAGATTCTGTAGTTCAACACATCCCCTCTCTTTGAATCGCAGGATTAAGTGCGCATTTCAGAAAGAAAGGCGAGCTAAGATGCTAAAAACATATCCCAATCCATATCCGGATTATATTTATTTTGAAAGGTTTACCTGTGAAACTGCCTCTTATAGACACAGCTCTATGGATTTTAGGATTCTTGGATATGACAGGCTCTAAAAGATAACCTTCTATTAAATATAAATAAGCAGTCCTTCGAAATGTTATTAGTATTACTATATTTAAAGGCTAAGACTTGTCACTGAAGCCTTTAGTATAGGCTAAGTGAAACAAACACCGGCTATTAGTCTACTCAAAGCCCACATTAGCTTAGTCTACAACCAAACCACAAGGCACTGACAGGCTTTTGTTTCCCACTGATATTGGTTTATCCCACCTGCCCATCATCTGTGACTGTGGGACTGCCACAGAGACACGCAAACAGGGAATGGGAAAGATGTCTGTCATTCAAACTCACTGGGTGTGGCGAGCATTTTTGCTTTTTTTGGACATCAACTAGTCATCTATTACTAAATTATGTAGGCCATAATTTCAAGAAGTACTTAAAGGAAAACGACACAAAATGCTTAGTGCACTGAAATATATTGCTTTTGATCACGCTGAATGTCACGGATGAACTTTCTGCTGCAGAGCACAACACTCCTGTACAAGGACAGTTTCATCGATGCTCTCTCTTCTTTGTCTCAGACACTTTTAACTCAAGCCGGTTTCCACCGGTTAGGGTATCCTTACCTCACCGTCTGCCATCTCTCACTCTCTTCTTGGTCATGTTGCAGTATGATAAAGCGTCTTGTTGTGGCGGTTTAAGTAATAATAATAATAATTATAATAATAATGACCTGATGTGATGAGAATTATATTCATATTTGACAAGCCAAAACTGACCAGACATCGTTATAGTGACCACCCCATTTCCTCATCCTTTATAGTTTTAATATGAGTAAGAGATGTGAGGTGTCTAGCTCAGAGACAGACACAGGAGCAGAGGGATGCGGGAAAATTGATAAAGGAAGGATATGAAGTTAATAAATATAACAATATGAGAAGGCAATTTTCATGTCCAAATGCAAATACAGGGGTGCTGAAGTTATTGCAATTAAATCGATACACACATAAATTCCACCTCACAGCTTGGTATCAAATTATAAGATAATATCTGAATAACATTTCCATGAAAGTTATTTTCAGATGAAGACTTTTTTCTTGTTCTTGGTTTTCCCAGCACAGAAAAACCCATTTCCCATTCATAAAAAACATTCAACACATACACAAATTTACTCTTGACATACTTAGTGCTGATGGCATTTTATTTTGCACAAGGCATACTTTCAGTTAGTATCATTTACATCAGTTGATACTGCTGCACATCGGCTATATTAAAGCAGGTCTCCTGTAAAAACTACCACACAAGGAACCTGGCTACTGAGTTAGACTTTGCCATGGATTTAAATACGCTTCATTAGTTTTTGCATCTGTTGCATGTTCCACCATGATTAGTCACCAACATGTGAACGGGCAGAAAACTGTTTCAAATTAGGATATTTAAAGAACTGTTTCAATTTTGTGCTAGGGATATTTTCTATTACTTGCCGTTGACTCACATATTTTCAGTACAACTAGCATACAGTGTAAAAATACATTAAATCCCCCGACCAAAAAAATACCACAGTGGTACCAATATGGAAAACACACATAAAAGCATTATCTATGTAAGAAAAAAACACTAACAAAAGCAAAACAAAGTACACGGTTTCAATTTTTTTCCTCCTATCTTTGCTTCATTTTTGTGTATTTTGTTCTTTATTCCAGTCTCCAGTTTTCCGTGTCTCTCCAATACTGCTTTTCCCTCTTGCTCTAATATTCTCTGTCTTCTGATTATACTCTTGTATTTGCAGCTTATAGCACTTGTTTTACCCTTCTTCTATCACCAGGTCTCACCAAATTCCTGGATGTTCTCTTCATTGAGCCATTTGGACCACAACTGCCTTCCAAGCTCTGTCTTTGTCAAAATCCTGCAATGCTCCATTTGATGTTTGCTGCTGTGGAGGATGAAAAGGAAAGAAAATATTCAGAGGAATCAGGTGTTGAGCATGAGTGGTACTGTGCTATTTTTGCATGTAGTTCATTAATTGATACATATGCATTTACATGTGGTATACCTTGATGCTATACTCATCAGTAAATGTCTGTTGTTGTAAGTAGTGATATAGACAAGAGCAGGATTTGCACATATGGGTGTGTTTACCTGGCATACCTCACAGTAATGCATCTGGGTCTGAATGTTGTCATCACACTCTGGAGCTCCCATGCGAAGCTGACTTTTGTAGGTGGCACAGTGCACCACAGTGGCTGAAGTAAGAATTGCCTGCACCAGCAGCAGCACCATCAGAATCAGCAGCAATATGTCATAGGATTGCTGGGATACAAAGAGAGACAAGCACATATATGTGAAATTGGTGTAGTTTTAAAAGTAATTTCTCATGATTTACTTCCCCAGCTCCTGTATTTTTTTTTAATGACACCAGAGCTAAGTGGATAACTCTTGAAAATAAAAACACAACCATATATTTTCACTCACTTTGGCTGTAGGCACATCATGCAGGAATATTTCAATAAAGCTGATCACACTGCAAGAGAGGAAGCCAGAGGCTGAAAAGAGCAGAGGAGACGTCACGCTGCTGATGGCAATCAACACCTCCACCTGAGAGATACAGGGTTGAGAGCAGAAAGAAGAAAGGTGGAAAAAAGAACACAAAAAGCCAGTAGAAAGAAGAAATAGATGTGGTATTTAGATGAAATTATACCTGCTCCAATGACATTTTGCACCCACATGATTGCAAATAGCAGGAGGAAAAAGTTTAGATTGAAAACAAAGTCATAAAACACTGAAGTATATGAATTTCAAGTTTAAAACCAACTCCATGGTATAACAGCTTTACATTCACACTGTACTAATCTCACAGATCCTGCAGATATCAGATTATTGTACTCACCAGGCATTTGTTAGGGTATTCTGACACAACATGACTGGCAATAGCACTGGGGAAACACTGCAAAGAATAACAGGTAATGTTATGCGATTGAGTTGCTCGTCAGTCATTTTAAACATACCTTATCATTCTGAGTGGCCACAAGTGCCCTAAAAAACAGTAAGCTTTATTAAGCCAACTTACAGCCACAAGGATCCAGAAAAATGTAACAGACAAGTAGGGACCAGGCAACAAAGCGTCCATGTTGAGCGCAATAATGCCTCCAAATACAGCCGAGATTCCTACAATCACTTCAATTACCTGTTGCAGACATCAGTTATGGATTAAAAGAAAAACATATACATATATAGGTTATATAGTTATACTTATTTATATGCAAGTTTACTCACAGAATATGCTTTAAGGAGCCGAGTGGGGAAGACTGCAGGTTTGATAATCACAGGCCTGTCGTATGACCCCGACTGGAGGATGGATAGAAAAATGAAAATTGTTTAGGATGAAAGAATGAAAGGGAACAAAAACAAACAAATAAACAAAAAACAAAAACAAAACAAAAAACTCGCTCATGTAGACATGCATACACTCACACACCTTCCTGTGGCAGCAGCAGTCCTCTGCAGAGCGGGCTGACAGGATGACAGTGCTGGCCATCAACACCTCCAACAAGATCATCAGGATAAGGTTGAAGTTAATCTGAGAACAGACAGAACATGTTAGGGGGCGAGAACAGAGACGCAACTGCTAAAAGAGAAAACAAAATATAAAAGAATAACTCAAAATGTTTGTGTTTGTGCATCCAAAAGGACATGTAGTTTTCAATACAGATGGATTTACATTGACAGCTGAGGGGTTCAAGACCAGCTTACAACCAAACCAAACCAGGCATGTGGTCGTCACAGCAAATGTTGACACATAGACCACTTGAAAATCTGACACCTTAAAGGAAACATGAGAGTCTAATTAGTATCGTGCTTCGGTAAAAGCTTCAATTAAAAACCATTAAGACATAATTATCTGTTTAGCCTTTGATGAGTTCATTGTTTACTCACTGCAACGTGTCTGTTCTTGGCAATAGCAAAACTAGCTATTGCTGCAGGGATGCCCTGTGAAGAATACCAACAAAAAAGAGCTGCTGTATTTATCTATGAAGACCATTACTGCCATTTTTGACATGACTCCTGTATAAACCGTGTGAAAGATGCAGCAAGGTATGCTAGCTTTCAAAGCAATATCAGCATGTGATTAAAGTAACTGTGATGGTCACTTACAGAGCCCGCAGCACAGCGCAGGTAGTCCATGGCAACAGGAAACACATTTCCCAAGTACAGAGAGAAACCAGATGTGATGAGCAGACAGCCCTGAGGACACACCGACGCACACACACATACAGCCATGTATACACAATTAAAAGGGTCATAAATGCATTCAGCAGGTAAAACTGTGCAAGAATTCCTCTCTCATACACACGAGCCATTTGAGAAGTAACTAAGCCAACTGCATCATCCTGCCTGGTGCAACAGCCCCACCAAGACTCTTGCGTCCGGTGGGCAGGTGTCTGACTGATAAACACTAAATAATCACAACTGATATACCTGCAATTTACCAGAAATACATAGGTATGTTTCTAGTATGATCTGCAACAAAGTGGGTACGTTTTTTCTTTTGCAATAAACACAATTTGGTTTTAGTTTGAGCAACAATTTTCTGGCATGTAGCATTTACAAGTATGTATTAGATTTTATCATATACATTTGCGTAGTCAGCATGATCTTTTTCATTTTACAAAGTATTGGAGACTACTTTTAGTTAACCAAACTTCATTTCTATCTAGGGTATTGTCTGTATAGTTCAGATTCTTCCAGTGTGCAGCAATTTACACACTGCAAAACTTTCAAAATTTCCCCGCGTTGATTCTTGCATTGAGCTGGGTGTGTCTGCTCACACTTACACTATGTGCACAAGAGTATTGGGCCACATCTCTTAATCACTGAACTCAATAATAATATGGGGTTGGGCTTTGGCTCCCTTCCAGTTCCAGTGCAGAGAAGTCTTGATGCTTACCATGACAATTATGTGCATCTAACTTCATGGGAAAGGCCCTTTTATGTTCCAGCATGACTGTGCTGCAGTGCACAAAGTAAGGACTGGCTAGGTGAGCTTGCTGTGGAAGAACATGACTGGCCTTACCTCAACCCCACAGAACACCTTTGGGAAGAACTATAAGGGAGATTTTCAGCCAGGTCATCTATTCCAGCATTAGTGTCCAACCTAAATGATCTTTTGGATTAATGGGCAAAAATTTCCACAGCCAGATTTTCTATGTAAAAGGCTTCTCAGAAGAGTGGAAGGTATTATAGTTGCTAAAGAAGGGGCAAAGTCCTTAAAATGCCTACAGATTTAGAATGGGATGTCCTAAAAGAGCTTTTAGGCAGTCCAATATTTTTGTCTAAATAGTGTAACACAATACACATGCCCAAAATTGATCTGCTAACATTTTAATTATTGAAACAACCCCATCATGGTGTTCTTTCCTTGTGGAAGCACAAAACGGGATTTCTTGTTGCCACTTCTCACTCAAAATTTCAAGATTGGGGCTACTCAAAAAAAGGAATCACCCCAAACTTTAAATCTGTGTGTTATGGACTAAATAGAAAAAATCCTGTAGTGTGCTTCCGTTGCTTCCCCTGACTGTCTTTCCTCTCACCCCTATGAGGACACTGTAGAGCCAGGCCCTGTAGCTGAAGCAGGGGTGCTTTAGGGGCTCCGGCTGGGCCAGCTGCAGGTCACTGGCCCTCACGTCCACTGTGTAGCTGTCCCGTTCAGACCTATCCCGCTCCCCTCGGTCTGGCCTTCTCTCAGCTCCCCGGTCACCCCGTCGTCCCAGTGTCCCATTTCCTCTCTCCAGAGTGGGCATGTGGGTGTAGGTGAACTCCTCTCTGGCCGACAGCTCCTCGCGCTGCATTGTTAAAGTGGCTGGTGGCTTGCTTCAGTAGCAGGGTGAAAAGTATGGAGTGAAGAAAACACCCTGTGGGAAAGAATGAAAAAACAAAAACAATATCACATTCCAAACAAGGACAAGCTCTTTGTCTTCTCATCATGTTTCTCTTTACGATCGTTCCTTTCAACAAGAGGTCCAGTAATTGTAAAAAGTGATGATGGCAATCGGAGCTCTCAGATCGGAGCTTTCAGGGGAAAATCAATTAAAATCACATTAAATAAAGAGAAAGTATGCCATTAGGCTACTAATCATGCAGTGTAACAAAAACACCCCACACCCCTCCCCTTGTTTCTGTCGGTTCAAGCCAAGAGAACTTACTCTACATTCCACTGCTTCTTTTTTGCTTGTCTGAACTCACCTACTGTTGTTTGTCTCGCAAAGTCTTCCCAGTTATTTTCCAGGAAATGTATCCTTCAAGAACTGGAATCATATAACCACAAAGAAGACAGTTTGTCTTTGCTCGAAGCTCCTTCTGCTCCCCATCTCTCTCCCTCGCAACTTGCAGCCTCTTGCACCCCCACTCTCCTCCTCTTTTCCTTTTCCTCTCTTTCTTTCCCGTTACACGGCGTTACTCAGAAACAGTTCTGAAAAGTTTTTTGAACCCATCAAAGCGTGGAGCTAAAACACATGGCTCTTGTGCTGCCAGCCTACTTTGTGCCAAAGAGAGAGCGGCTGTGCATGACAACAAGGGGAGGATGAAGGGGCTCGCACTGGGGGCAGAGTTAGAAGGGCAAACACCCTCTTTACCCTCCTTTTTGCCCATGCAGCCACACATGCACATCAAGGCACTCACAAAACTGAACAATAGGCCTTCAGAATTGAGCACATAAGAAATTTAGAAAGTCACATTCATAGCAAGTAGAAATTCGCACAAGTGCAGAATCAAACTGTTGTTTTTTGCCTACAGTTGAGTGCGTCCCCCTGTTGTGTTCCCCCTCACAACTTCCCTCTGTGTTACTTAGTGTTTCACTGCACTTCACAGCCCACTAAATTAAGATGCCCAGCAGTGCTTTAGAAAAGAGGCGACAGAGACATTTCCATGGCCTAATCACATGGTCCCTTGTGTGACACGGCTAATCTGATGATGGATCATTTCTGCTCCATATAAGAATCTCTTAATGACTCATTAAGGACTAAATCCAATTGGATAACAACATTTTGTGGGTGTGTGTTAATTGTGTCCGTGTTTAAATGTCTACATATGTGAGCACCTCGGGATTCCTTTCAGTCTTTAACACAGCCAAGCATTCTCAGTTCAACATTGTTCCTTGGTGGTGGTAACCATGGCGACTCCTTAACAACTGCTGTCACCACAGCCCTTGCCATTCCCTGCCCAAAACACAACACACACACGCACACACACACACACACACACTGCAAATACCATGACCACTCAGAGAGCATTTTGAAACTGCCCTTGGAGAAGGCAGAGGGTCGGGAAAACACTAATTGAATGAGACACAAATCAATATCCAAATATTAATATAACAAATCAAAACAGAGTATTATTCTACTCGTGATATTTATGTCCGATGAAGATAAATTAATGTCAGTATTAGGTTTGGAGGGTGGCATGAAAAAGCAGCTACTCTAATGGCACTGCTATTGTCTTGACAGTAATTTTAAATGGATGCATGTCTGCGACAAACACTTTTAGCCTTTTTTGTAGAAGTGTAAACTTTAAAAGAACAAACTATCTGTTCACTCTAAAAGCCTTTGTTTCTCTTGTTCCTCTTGACTTTTAGGGATATACTTAAGTCTAACTAATTTTTCCACTCTGATTAGCATCTGCCTGCTTCCCACTCTAACTCCATTCTACACCACAGACTACTATGACATTTCAAGCACATTTGACCAGTGCTTAAATTCGCACATAACAATCATTCCCAAACCTCAGACTGCCACTGCCCGAGTTTGAAATGCAAATATCTTCTGCAGCCCACCCAAGTCTTTACTCGTGACTGATGTTGAACTTGATTCTCCATCAACAGCTTTAGATTAAGATTCAGGTTAAGATCCAAGAGGATTAAGGATTACAAAAGTTTACTTGTTAAATTATCCCATATGGAAAAGAAATAGTAAAAACTTATAAAAGACTTGCATAAGATGTGGCCTACTTCATATAGTGAATCATATAAGGCTTATATGATTTACTCATGAAAGTGTCCACTTCCTCATTACTTTCATATATTGTTTTAGTAAGTATCCAAAACATACAAGTTTCATTTATATAATATTTCAAGGGATCTTATATCTGTTTTCACTCTTGTATGCTTTTCATATAAGTTTCACACAATACAGATACAAACTTTATAAGATTTATATATATCTTTTCCATATGGGATATGTCCCTGTCTACTAAATCTTTTTACATTTTGTAATAAATGAGTATTTCAGTTAACTGATTTTGTTTTAAAAACGTATTTTTATCCTTCTGTATATTATTGTATACTACTATTCTTATTATATATATTGTATATTTTATTCCTCTATCTCTCTTGCTACATTGAGCATGTGTATGACAAAAGAATTTCACTCGGGATAAATACAGTTCTTCTTATCTTATCTTATCTTATTTTAAAACGTCTGCAATTTTTAGGGCCCACCTGCAGTATCTTCATGGCCCATGAGGTGGTGACTGCTCACACTTTGGTTAACACTGGTCTGAAAAATACAACAGAATGGGTGTTCTAGAAATGCTCTAGAAATTTGAAAAACAGTTTCTAATACACAATAATGTATTTTCTTTACCATATTTCCTATTTTCATAACATATTTGATAGCATATAGCTGGACTGTCTTTATTAAAATAAACTTTATTACTCTAGAAATAACAGAGACCATGTTTATTTCAGGAACAGTACTCAAGACCAAGTTGGATGTAGTGATGGTAAATGTGATTCTTTTTACTGAATTGAGTTTGAATGAGTCACTAACCAAAGTGAATCAGATTTTTTGAGTCATTTGAGTCACTGAGTCAGTTGACCAGAGAGTGCAAAAAATGTACATTTTCACTCAAACTCAATTTGTTTCTCTTTTCATGTAAATCCTACTGCTAAGATGAGTGATTGAAAAAGAAAAACAACTATTTTTATAGAGCAAAAAGGAGCAAAAAAAAAAAAAAAGATTTCTAAAGGGAACATTTATTTTTATTTTATTAGTATTTTCCTCAAATGTGTCAAATATGTTTTCTCATCTAAATGTCCACTGAGCTGTTCCTTAACATTGTTTGCCAACCAAGAAGAAGAAGAAGAAGAAGCTGTGAGCCAGGAGGGAGGGGTGAGGGAGGGGGTGAGTGAGTGAGTGAGTGAGTGAGTGAGTGATTGTTTATGCTACGATTCAGCACAGGGAGGGAGGGGGTGAGTGACTCAAATGTGCTGTTAGCATGTTAGCAGAGCGATGCTACTGTGAACCAAGGAGCTATTGTCTTGATGTGAGCTTTCTACTCAGGGTTTTTTCTTCCAGTTCAGAGCAGAAATGTTTTTATTAAGAAACTTGCTGTTGCTTTTTTTCCACACAATTTGAATTATAATCTTTATATATATTTCTACTAATTAAATTAGTTTGCTAACAGCAACAGGGATGAGTCAGTTGGGCTTGTGAATCATGATTCACGAGTCAGTAAAGTGATTCTCGAGTATTGAACAATTCGTTCAGGATTCGCACATCACTAGTTGGAGGGGTCCCTTCTAAGGAGGCCAGGTCTCTTCTTCTGTCATTGCAAAATTTGCACATTGCAACAGCTGTAATTTAGCCACTTAAGCCCCACGACCCCGGTACCGGAAAAAAGGAGGAGATCATGTTTAATCAGTTATAACACGGGGTCAGAAATATAAGTCCCGACATGTGTGGTATCCACAGAAACCTCTGAATCTCAGCTAAAATCTTATGGGGTGCCGTTTGTAAAGTGAAACATGCTGAAATTAATGGCAACATTTTTCCACATTTAGCTCAAAACAAGTCCTTTTTTACAACATTTAGTAAAATATTTGTAACTTTTCATATTTAAAACAGAATTTTAAATGTTAAATCTAAATGTTAAATATTCAATCTAAATGTTAAATGTAAATATTATATTTAAATCTAAATGTTAAATGTTAAATCTAAATATTATATTTAAATCTAAATCTAAATGTTAAATGTTAAATCTAAATGTTTAGGCTAACATGCAAATTTATTGCACAGATCAGCGGAAATACCAAAATAAAAGCTTTCCGAAAACCTCTGGTGCAAAAGTGTGCCGGTAGTGGTCAGACACGTTCTCACTCCCTAAGCGTAATAATTTTCGCTAGGTGACAAATTGTCAACATTTTATGCTTTCGGGTACCCAACACGTTCCTAAATGACTGCATCGGAAAAAGGAGAGCACATGAGAACCGTTTGGACTCAATCTACACATGTTCGTTCATTTTCTAAAAATCGCTTTGGAAAAAACTATTTTACGTCATTTAACTGCTAGTAAAGGTTAGGAATAAGGTTATGGTTAAGGTTAGGTTTAGGGCTGGAACGTCTATTATGGCGGGACCGTCATTCCACTGGAATTCAGCCATAACCCGGCACGGACCATGAGAAAGCATGTCCGGCGATTTAGCTGAAAACATCGGAAGATCCGTTTTGTTGGCCATCCAAAGGTTCAGCAGTAGTGCACTCTTAGCAGCTGCAGTCTCCACTTCACAATCACTGCAGCACATGTCCAGCATCGTAGGCAAGAAGTGAAGCAGCACATGGCGGGGAGAAGTGAGGGGGAGAGCAGACACAATTTTGCACCGGAGGTTTTCGGGAAGCTTTTATTTTGGTATTTCGTTGATCCATACAATAAATTTGCATGTTAG